CCCCCCCCACGCACAGGCCGCTCAAGCACTCCTGGTGCTGCTCACTCTCTCCAGAAGCCAGAGGTTTGCAAAGAAGCACCCACACTGTAGACTTCTGCCTTCCGAGGCGAGAGGGGAGCCAGCGCCCCAAGAGCAGGAGAAGGATCGGCCTCCCGTGCTCCCTTTAGGACCGCCCAGGGGAAGTCGCCGGTCCATCACGACTGGGCCCAGGGAGGGGACCAGAGCAGGTGGGCCCCGGTGGTGGTGGTGCACGGACAGGTATGCATGCAGGCGCCACTCGGCAGGGCTGGCGGAAGGGCCGGGAGGGGGGAGCTTCCACCCCCAAGAGGGGGGGGGGTCCAGACTCTGGGCAAGAGCTGCTGCATCCGGGGATCATCGTGGCCACTCACCTGCTGCAAATGGTTGGCGATGTTGAGGATCTGCTGGCTGGGGATGCTGACGGCCACCTGGGCCAGCTCCCGGGTCACGGCCGTCTGCTCGTGGATGACGGACAAGTGCAAAGGACTGCGGAGACAGAGACACACCCTGGGCTGAGCGGGGGCACCTCCCGAAAGGAACCCCCCCTTTCCGGCCCCCTCGCGGTGGAAGCGGAGGGGGCCTCTCTCCGAGGGGAGCTGACCCCTGAGCCTGCCGACACTGCCACTCCCCCAGCCCCCGCAGACTCACGTGTCTCCGTTCTCATCCTGGGAAGCCGCGAGGTGCCTCTGCACAGCCAGCAGCATCCGCGGGTCGGCAGTGATGGCATAGTCCAGAAGCGCCTGGGCGCTGCGCCGAGCCAGCATCAGCATCCACGTCCCGCAACCCTGAGCTAGGAGGGAAGGGAAAGCAGCAGAGGGGGCGCGTCAGCCCCAGGAACACACACACACACACACACACCCGACACACACACACAGTGCTGCCGCTCTCCTCCTTCAAGGCGGCCTCCGGTTCGCCACGGGCGATGATGCTCCGGGGTTCCTCTTGGCCAAGTCATGCCCCGATTCCAGAGAGCCCCCTCGACCACCACAGCCCATCCCCTCTTCAAGCAGGTCTCTCTTTCACCTGCTTCCCAAGTCACATTATGCCTGGGCTGAAAGGGGGCCTGCTGGCAACACGTTTACCATCACTCAGCCTCCTACTCTAGATCGGGGGGGGGCGGGGGGG